ATATTATTTGTTTGTTTCCATGACATCTTAACTTTCTTTCATCTAATCTAATCTTAGGTTTTTAATATTTAATTCACACATTTTTTTAAAAAAATTAAAATTAATAACATATATTAGTTAAGTAAAAAAAAAAAATTCACGAAATTCAAACACGTTATTTACAAGAAGAGAACGATTTTAATTTAGAGTTTATATTGCTAGATTGAAGCCAGTTGTTGACATTTGCTTTCTCTTCTGATTTTATGTAATCTTAGATTTTAAGAGCATGAATAAAAGAGGAGAATAAAAAATTTTACTTTATTATTCTATTATTACAAGTAATATTATTAAGTTTTAAAATCATGCCATACACTGTTTGTATTATATGTTTTTAATAATTATTAAATATAATTATAGATTTCAAAAGAAATGTCAGCTTAAGGAACTGAGTCGGCAGATGTTAGTGGAGAAGAGGCAAAAATCGTCTTCCACTATTCCTTTATCGATTTTTAACAATATCTATATATATCTCTTCCTTGTTTCGGTAGGTACACAACTCAAAAAGCCAATGTGAATGTCCCCTTTCAAAAAAAAAGAAAAAATATGTCAATGTGAATGTCAAAGAGCCTCTTTTTAATAAATCCTTTCTTGTTTTTATGTAATCTTACCTCTTAATACCCCCTCGGCATTATCTCTTGGCCCATCTCCATTCTCCTTACCGTCAAAGTTCTGCAAATTTGGAATTTCTCCAAGACTTCTTTCCATACTGCGTTAGTCCAAAGCATGCTTTTAAAACTCGACCTAATTCATTCAATTGAGTCTGTTGAATTAAATTTGATTATAAAAATTAGTTAAGTAAATACTTTAACTTGCTTTTTAACTTATTTAGAAGATTAAATCAATTGAACTCTTAAATTTTAATCAACCCATTGACCCAACCCTATTTACTTCAAAATCCTTTTTATTTTAATTTTTTAAATATTTATTTTTATGCATTTTATCTCATTAAATTGCTACGTATTTAAAAAATTCAACTTTTTAAATTACTTTTTAACTAATTTACAAATTATTTTTAAGATGATTATGTCTATAATAAGCATCAGTTCATAAAACCAATGCATGCATAGGATAGGATCAATTGTGGACCCAACACAATAATAAACAATTTGAGTTGTAATTAGTCTTTTTTTTATTTAATTTAAATAGGGTAATATCAATATATAACAATAAAGTATACAAAAACGTTGAAAAATTCAACTTTTTATTTGACCTATCAAACCAACCAATCAAACTAATTGAACCAAATCTAGTGCTAAAACAAGTTAGTCACCAAGTTGTGTTTTAAACATTGGTATAAGGGCATCCAAAGAATAAGTGGCTGCATGTTTCCATTCCTCCACAAATACAACAACCACCATCTATATGCAGGCCTTTTGGATCACAAGAGGCTTAGATCTGTATTCAGACTAATTCCTAACAAACATATTATTGTGGTCAACAAAAAGGTTTTGCATTTATGGTCACAAGCATTTTACTGACTTGCCTGCCTAACTATTTAGAGATAAGTTAAGCGGGCTAGAAATTCTTTTACTTCTGCTGTCCCAAAATACACGAAATAGGCAAATCAACTCTATACTCAATATATGATGGCCCAAAAAAAAAAAAAAAAAACTACTCAATATATACTATGAAATCAACTTTTGTACTACCAATAATTTATTGGCCTGAGTGAAATAAACTTGATTCATTTTAAATAATTTCTTAAGTTTGAGTCTTTTACATGAAGAATTTTACATGAAGAATTTTACATGAAGAAACATGCATTAACAAAGTTATTCTTTTATACGATCTAATGTGGTTTAATTTTAAATTAATTAAAATTTAATATGACTTTTAAAAGTCAAGAAATTTAATGAAAAAATCAACTCTTGTACTTAAAATTTAATTGCAAATTACCACTTATTGAACACCTGATGTTAGCAATCATGTTATGTTTAATCGAAAGCCAATTTTTTGGTTAAAAATGTAATAAAAATGTAATAATATATAGATAATTTATTTATAATTTATGTATATTATTTTATAAATATATATAATATTATAAAAAAATTAGTCATTAAGTAATATATAAAATTTTATAAAAATTATACCTAAAAAATTGTCTCTTAGTTTCTTTCATTTTTTTTTAAAAAGAGCCAACTTCGATGGATCACATAAATGACATGACACTGAGTGCGTGAAATTCTGTCCCTCGCGGTGACCCACGCTGCTCACATGGCAATTCTTGAAAGTTTTTTTTCTACTCTAATGCGATGACTCTCAAAGCCTAAAACCCAGTTCCTGTAATTGCCTATTAATTTCAAGATTAAAGGTGTTATTAGGAGGAATTAAACACAATTCTCCAATGGTATGTTTGGGAACATGATATTTGGAGATTGTATTTGAATTTGATCATTTCAAATTCAATATCACAATTTATTTTCACAAAACAAGAATGCAATTGAATTTAATCCAAATACATGTAATTAGGTTTGTATATTTTATTACTTTAAAATTCATATATTTCAAATCATCTTCTAACCTTAAATATTTCAAATTTAGATTCATGTATTTCAATTTTTTTAATTTTAATGGAACTCAATAGTAGATAATTTCACCTCACCCACCCTTCCGCTGCTCACAATGAACCAAATCATTGGCGGAGTAAGTTTGTATTCTCCTTTTCAGCAATGGGCACGCAATAATCCACATGATCAGCCATCACAATAGACAACTTTTATGGCATATTGAACAAATCAAAGTAGCAGACACATGCAACTAGAGTGTCCTAGCAAGGGAAGATTAAACACTTGTGAATGGATCAGCACTGGGTGTAGATAAAAAGGTGAATCTTGTTGAAAGTTTGCAACAAAAAGCCATTAAAGGGGCAGAGGAGGAGTGGGAGGTGGAGAAGATGATAAAAATACCTTGAAAGTGTTTGTAAAAATACTTCAATCAACTACTTGAATATCAAATTTATTTTTATTATATTAATCTAAACAATAAATTTAAAAATACATATATTTTAATTACATATATTTTAAATACATATATTTAACATACATCTTTCAAACACAAATTCAAGTTCCCAAACATAACCCAAATTCACTTCGGAGTAGCATCTTCTTCTCAGTCTATCGCAAGGCAAGGTCAGGATGGTTACTTACAATTCTTGTGGTTGTTTTGACTATTTGGAATCCCAGGAAAGGAATAATTTTCAAGAATATGCAGTGGGATAAAGATCGAATCTTTGAGCTAAATTTATCTAAATCTTTCTCGTGGATTAAGGGTAAAACCTTGAACGCCGAAATTTCATTTAGCCACTGGTGCCTCTTTCTCTATTTGTCTTCTAGCCCTTGTATATATTTTATAATAATTCTCATCTCTGTAATTAAAAAAAAAAAAGGAGAATAGGCATAATTTTTTTAATTTTTTTTATATAACTCTTGCGCACTGTTAAATAAATATATATTTAATATTATAAATTTTAAATAAATAAA